AGCGTAGGACAGATATACCTACCTATCATCAGTGCTATTTTAAAGAATTACATGACTCATCGAGTCTTCAATTAGAAATCTATTTTAAGCCTCACATTCGTTAACTGAGACTAACCTAGGCAAACCAGCAGACTACTGCAAACGGTCAGGAAACACTGCAAGATGGGGTTGGTCAATCAGAAGCAACGTACAGTGAGATAAGCCTGAACATATTAAAAACAGAGCATAACCAGGCCAGACTTGACCTTCAGCTAGAACAATGCTAGTGGTTTCTTAAAGCTGTTAATGATTTCTCATCAGTCTGTTACAGTCTTAGCAATGAGATGTAGTAGAATGACAAATCCAGCCCAATTTCTCCACCTTACAGAAAAGGTCTGCCTCCTACTCAGGAGGGAAGAACAAAGCCTCTTAAGAGTTATATAAAGAAGATCTGTAACATTCGTTTTCTGGGCTTAAAGATCACCATGACAACATAAAGGCAGATTTTTGAGGAGTAAGAGTTAAGGAATTACTTCTCAAAATATAAACAAGAAATTGGATAGAAAAATCTGACTAAAAGTCTAATTAGCAAAGACACCCCTGGGAAATTTTTTGAGAGGGACTGCACTAAAAAGTAGAAATTTGCTGTAGTAAACAATCTTGCCTTAGGGATTAATGACAGCACCTTCACAAAAAGTCTTTATCATTGCAAAAGTTCCAAAACTTACCAACTACTGAAGATTTTTTCTATAATTACGTAAAGAATTGAAATTCTACAAGCTTGGAGAGCGTTTAGATTCCATTTTGTGTCCTCCAGGAGAAAGGATTACAGCTATATCTCTATCTGATTACGTGGCTTACATGCACTGAATCTGTAGCATTAAATCCACTGAAGCAGAGCTATGGGGAGCTGGTTCCTTAATTACATCTGCATTAACTTATATCTGATCAAACTATGCTTTTCTGATTATTAAAAAACACCTTTAAAATAACTACGTGTAAACATCAAAATATAATCTAGACATTTTCTTTCCCATTGTACTACGTGCACTACAACTACTTGAAAAAATAGTATCTGTATGCTGTTCATAAAACATTAAGGATACGTAATTCCTATTTAAGTGAAAACACTGTATTATTACTTATTCAGAAAACCATTTCATTTGGTTGAAAATTAGAACTGGGACATTTTTTACTGAGGTACATTTGATGTTTATGAAAAAAGCTGATTGCCTATTGATATTTTAAATTCCCATATATAAATAAAATTCACCCACTCTGGTCCAAAATTTGACCTTAGCAACATTCAGGAAAAGTTAAAATGTTGCTGTTATTCCATGCAGTTATGCTGATTTTCCACAGGCACTAATAAGATGGTACCATCACAATCTGTTTGTATTCCCATAAGGAAAATATAGAGGAATGTTGTGTATTAAATGGCATGCTTACTCAATTGTTATGGTATTTAGCTAAGAAAAGTGAAATGCATTTTAAAAGGCACTAGTATGTGGTCTTAAGTAATACTAAAACTTCACTTCTTTTTTTTAAAGCATGATAGCTAGATTTTTACTTTTTTCCCCTTTAAACACTCCAGTATTTGGATGATTCATGCAAAATCCTCCCTGAACATTAGCTTTTCCTTGTTTCTATAACACAGAAAAACAATAGGAGTTTGAATGAATGTTGTTCTTGTATGGACTGCTGATATAAATTCCAGATGTTTGGAAGCAGCAAAAAGTGTAAGAGTTTCAATCTAATCTCATGCACTAATCTCTTTGATCAGAATTACTTCTACCAGATAAAGGTACCTAATTTGCAATTTTTAGAAGTTAATGACAAAAAAAAATAATTTTGAGGGCTGTAGGTAGGGCAGCCACGGAGCCAACCTTCCATTGCAGACACCAGTGCTTTATCACCAGGAACTTTTGCTGCAATCAGTGCTAAGGACTCCTAATGCAGATTGTTGAGGGCTAATATCAAACGTTTCTGTGGAAGCCACGAACGGTTTAATTTAGTTGCACTTTTTGTTTCATTTAATAATCAGAGCATAAGCTAGAGAGGGAAGTGACATTGCTCTTGGTGTACTTCAAACAGAACAGAAAAGTAGCTGGGGGGCCTTTGGTATAGGTTTGCCATATCTTGGCCGACGCAGCTTAAAAGCAAAGCATTGCTGTAATGTTGAAGCAGAAAGATCCCATTCTAAGCACCAGCAAGTACCTTCACCATGGGCAGCAATTAATGCATTATTGCCAGAGAATGCGTATTATTCAGGAAATGTTAAATGATATTATCAATAAGTTGTCCTCTAGCATCTGTTAATTATGCTTTGTTTTCATTCATACCTAGCACAATATTTTTTCATTTCTGTTGTTCCTTCAACTGCTTTGTCAGGTTTATTCTAATTGAGAAAACTTAAAGGTCAGTAAGAATTACAGGTAATAGGGGAAAGCTTTTTGAGTAAATTTTCTATTGTGGAAAGAAAAGTGCTCCTTTCAATGATCAGTTGAAGCAGTTATTGTTTTAAAACAGAATGAAGTACTGTGTAAAACAGGCACATAATTATTTTAGTTTTAAAACCTTTTATTTCAGATAAAGCATGCTGCTATATACAGAAAAAAATGTGGGTCAAAGCAAGAGCAATACAGAATGGGCAACACATTCCTTAGAACTTACATATTCCTTAAAATCTTAAAACTTACAAGATGCTTTTAAAAATTTCAGTGCACCAGCAGTACTATATATTCTTCTCACTCCTAAATCACCTCTAGCAAAATGTCATTTCCTCACGGATCCTGCGCGACCACAGCTATCTCTAGCTTTCATATAATGACAACTTCAGGTTTCCAACAGAAACTTACAGTGATGGTTTCAGCAAATGACTTCTACCAGTATAATATATTGAAGAAATAGAACTTCACGTTGCTAATATCTTATTTCAAACAGCATCATTCAACTATGCAAACTAAGTATGTTGTACATTTAGCAAAGTCTAGGCCAGGCTCAGTCGGTTTTCCTTTTCATCTCTCTTTCTCCTAATTAATTATCTTTACAGGAGTAAAACTCAGTAAAACTCTCATTCCTCTTCCTCCTAAAGAAATACTGTCAATAACTTCCCTCTCATTTTCTAGAATTAAAGTCAAGAGAGTACAATAGCGATGTTTTCTTGTATGCTGAAGTTACATTTGATATAGTAAAGGACAAAAGCTAATCTACTTTATAACGAACACGAACCAGGTTGTATGATTATTTTTACTTTTGGTGACAGTGAATGGATACCAGGCTACCAACAGAAATCTACAGAAGACAGGCACCCAGAGCAAGGCCCCAGCAGTAAGCCTTTCCTGGGCGTGTGACACTCGGGCTCTAACTCAGGACAGCAGTTAGTTTTTTACTGTAATTCTCTGCCTCATGTATTTGCCTGCTAAATGGGGGCTTTTAACTTTTAACATTAAGGATTTGCGCTGATAGGCCGTGATGCCAGTTGCGCAATTTGGCAAAGCGTGGGCTGTTACGTTCCGTTTCAAACCTTTCCCTGTGGCATGAAGAAAGAGAGAGAAAGACAGAGACAGAGAGAGAGACACACACAGAGAAGAAAGAAAGGAGGGAGAAAGAAAGGGGTTAGGGACCATGGCTACCACTCCCCTGCCTTATAACTAGGGCAATGGCAATTTATTTGGATTTTTTCCTCAGCTTTCAACTCCGCACAAAGAAGGCTGGGTGATCCGTTCTGGACCACGTACGAGACGTTTTGCCTTTGTTAATTTCTGAGAAGAAACTTGATATAACTTCACGTTCTTTGACTTGTGCTTGGTATTACAGGGCTGCTTTTGCTAGAAATGCAGTGAATCCTATTGTTTTCCTGCCAGCAGACTCTCTTGGCTTTTTCCTCCCTCCCCCCCACCGAGCAGTCAGTGAAAGTGAACTCCATACAAGAGCAAAATTAATGCAAACATTTTCCATTCTGTAATACCTAGGTCAGGCTATATATACGTGTGGAAATATACATATGTATCTCCTGCTGGCCTTCTTGTAAGGACCATCAGCCACAGGTTTCAGCAGTACTCTTCTATAGGTTTTCTCAGCATAAGTGAATTTAAGTGTTGACATTTGTATAAATATTTCTGGTCATTTCTGTCAAAAAGCAGAATAACACGGGATTTTCAGAGCACCGTCCTCTGAAATATTTGTCACCTCCTGTGAACACCCTTAGCCGCCTTTGACTGCAGACTGGGGCGCTTGAGCAAGTTGTAAGCAGTGTTCAGCACCTCTCAGAATTTAATCTTTTCTAGGCGTTTGATAGTTTAAATTCAGGTTTTGTAATTAAAATGGGGAAGGAGAAGGATGTGGGATGACAGCACAGCCGAGGAGAAGTGTATCAAACAGAATGGAAAATAAAATGTTCTTATTTGCAAAATGTATTTGATTCATTGCAAACAAGGTAATTTCCCCCTAATTATTTACACCCAAAATGCAAGGCAATTGTGTTAATGCAGCAGAACTTAAGAGTGAAGCCAGCCAAACAGAAATGAACAGACTGGGCTGGTTTTACTCCTCGGGCTGAAGAAAGCACAAAACAATAAACAGAGCAAATGCCAACAAATTCACTGATATTTCTGTCTTCTGTTCCTAATAACACAGTGTCATGCAAGTAACACTCCTAAAGAAGCCTTGATGTGTGACTCCTCAAACTATCTTTTATGCTTTTAAGTAATAAAAAGATATAAAGTATTCCGAGCTGAAATGCTGACACTTCGCGAAGGCATTTTTTCCAGTTACATTGGAGCATACGAGCTACAGCGGGTCTTACATGAAATTTAAGAATTTCCTTACTGCTTAAAGATATACCCCTCCATTCAAGGAAGAGGTATTCAGAAACATCTGTTTGGCTTGAAATGGATACCATCTTTCTGGAAAATATTCCATAACGATCGTCACAACAGCAATGGAAAGTTTTCATAGCAAGATATAATCTTGTATGTGCCTTCAAAATAGCAGTAGCATGAGCAAAGGACAGTCATGCGATGTGCTCATTAATATTAACTGAAAGGAATAATCTGCCACCTGAAAATTCCCAAGCTTCATGGGTTCTGTTAAGAGCATATGTCATGAAGTTAGAAGCAGCAATCTAGAAGTGACTATATTTGTGTAAAACAGTTCTGCCAAAAATAAGCTACATGCATTTTTCTTTCCCCTCCCCACCGAGTGTTTGGAAGAAACCTGATCACCATTTCATGCAGTTCTTGCTGACTACACTGAAGAGCTGACACAAAGAGACAAGAGAAAGCACCAGAGAGAGATCACTGACAGCATGCCCTGAAACCAAAATTCCCCACGCTGTGAAATCTCTGGCAGTTTAAGTTTTGGAACATGAAGGGTTTTTCCAGAATGCCAGCACAGCACGGGGTTAATGCAACACTGACTCTGGCAAGACTCAGGTTCCACAGTTCCATGGAAACCTTTTGCTTTCAGGAGCCTAGGATGTCCTCCAGGTGATCACAAACCATGGGCATGGGGAAAGGTGTGGTTGTGCAGGCTGTCCGGAGTAGATACCGAAGAGGAGTTTCTACTCCATTATTGTGCTGGAAGAGTGAAGTTAAAGTATGGATTCTGTGCATCTGACATAGGTCCCTCCATCCTTTACAAAATGAAAAGTGGCAGGGGCCTTGCCAAAAGATTAAACAGAAGGGGTCCAACAGGCCCAGAAGAGTTGTCTGTGATGGATGTGTGCTGTTGCTACCAGATCTGCAGTGGAGTATGCGCAACGTTTAAGGTAGGTTCCGAGCTACCAAGATGGGGCAAGCACCCTCCGTTAGGTAGGAAGGAGCCCCCATTTCATTCCTTGCACCAGAGCTCATGCCAATTGCACTGCACCCGTGCAACTGCCTCGTACGTATCCCCTTCTGCCTCTCTGCAATGAATGCCCTTAAACCTCTTCAGATAATACAGCTGTGCTTAAATATACTCAGAATCGTAACTGCCCTTGTGAAAAAAAGGGTAACAGAGTCATACCTCAAAACTGCAGAAAATGTACGAAGCACAGTGGATATAATCATGTACTTTAAGTTACACCGAATCAAATGTGCAATTTACACATGTTGATGTGTTACGAGATAATCATTATCAACATATCTGATACCGTGTTAAGTTTCCAATATCTAGTCTTTTCCAAAGCCACAGAATATGGCTAGAAAAATTATTTTTTTGTATGGGTGTACGGGGGACTGTTAAATTCAGCACAACACTTTAAATCCCATCATAACAAGGATTTGGATGCGTGCTGTTACATCAAAACAGATCATATACAATACATTTAAAACGAATTAGGCATGTACATTTGAGGGAAAACATAAATCCCTGAGGGATGTAACATCAAGCCTGATGTTCAGACACCTACCCATGAACTTCGGTGAACCGTAATGGAAGGTTTATAGCAAACATAAACTGAAAGTATATGTGTATTTTCACAGAGAAGATGACAGACATCATTCTCACTGATTCAATATCTGTAACTCACACTGTGATCAAAAGCTCATAACCTTTATAGAAGCCACATGGCAGCCAAAAAACCCCCAAAAACCAGAAAAAGAAGAAAAAGTGGATTGAGTATCAAACACATGACAAACCCAGCCAGCGGCTTAGAGTAGCTAATGTGATACAGGGATTTAAAGTAGGCAAACAGAAAATCGGGCTTGCATGCAGGATGCTCTGGTTCAACTGTGTTTTTTAAGCTCAACTTAAGAATCTCTAATAAATCTCTTTCCTGTCTGTGCAAGACAACATTAGATGATGATAAATCTTTAATTCCTTATTATATCTCTGAACATATTATCTTTTTCAGTGTTTTTGGTAGATCATATGAAACAAATGCATTTATCCACTAGCAAAAGCAGTCCTGTGCTTCCCTATTCTACAAATTTGGGCCGCATTTATTCCAAATAAAACATAAATAAATGATTCTGGATATGGACGGAAATAATTCCTTTACTGTATTATTTAAGGAGAATCAAATATCAATCACAGGGTCATCCAAATAAATTGCTGACGAATTTCAGTGCCATCACAACATTATATATTTTCATCCAGTTACACGATCAAGCAGTTACACGGGGCTTGGTCTTAGGAACTCATTGCATTCACACCCCCGGTAAAGTACACCAAAGTTGCATGTGCAGAGAGCTTTCAGTTTTGAACACACACTTCAGGAATTTTGCACCGTCTTTCCTAAAAACATGCTAATTTGTTATCCTTCTCATTCAAATGCCTCTCACTGATAGCATTTTCATTTTAGTGATTTTTAAGTAAATGTATTAGAATATTTTAAAACAAAAAAGTAATACCGCACATTCATATTAATGCTGTTTTAAACCATTATTTGGTTATCAGTAAGGAGAAAGCCGTATTTTTCACAGGGAGTTGCCTACCTTGACCTCCTCAGGGCTTCTTCATCCGGATCTTGCACTGCAGGCAAAAAAATGTTTTAGTTAAAAGAGAAAGAAAGGAAGGAAGAAAGGAATTGGCTTTATGATGAAATTGTAAGTTCTTTAGAAAGGTATCAGAAGCCTATCTAAAGATGTGTTCATGCTGACTTTGCAGCAGTGGATTTTGTAAGAACAGCATGAAGAAGAGCAGTTCCCTAGAGCTAGGAAGAAGGATGTCAGTAGGAAAGGAGCTATTACAACTACTTTCTCGTTCATTTATTAGCAATGCTTCACAGCTGTAGGCAATGATTCTACAGAGAGGGCCTGCTGTTTTGTAGAAAAGCATGAGAGGCCGCAGCAGATTCATATGAGGAGGAAACACTAAGTACTTCCCCCGGATGTGGGAAAGGTCCCCGAACTTCCTTCTCTCTAGATCAGAAAGAAGCTCTGAGGTTAGTACCAGGTGGTCAGAAAAACATTTCCATGGGCAACAAGCAACAAAGTTCAGGCTCCCATGACGTTCATAGCAGATTTAGGTTTAGATAATGGGGCTGATAGAACCATAAGTTCAATACAAATGGTGATCCACAATTTATTTTTTTTTACCTCCAGAAGTGACTTCTACAAAAGACTGTTACAAGAGGCATAAGTTGTTTATCTTTTTTTCTAACAAATGGACAGCTTTGTACATCTAGGCTGCTGGGAAATGAAAGATTACACTGCAGAGATCTGATTTGTAAGTAAGAAGAACTATGGGGTCCCAAATGCTCTTTTACTCTATAGTCTGTTACACTTTTATGGAGAGACCCTTGGCAGATCAATTTTCTTCATAAAGCATAAGGTGAGATTGAACACTTTGTTTTCCGTGTTATATCCAGGGTTCTCTGATCTTGGCCCTCACTGGCAACGACTACAAGCTGGACATGAGTCTTCCTTGAGTATCAGTTGGTAATACTGGGGTAAGGAAATAAAAGAAATGAATCTAAAATCAGGATGGGGGGGATATTTGTTATTTGACTTACTGTACTCCGTTCCAGTCATCTGGGCAAGGATGCGGAAAGACCTAGACTGCAAATTGGCAGAGCGGCGACTCCAGTCTTCGGTTTCATCTTCGGGCTTGTTCTGAGTTTTAAGCACAGCCTGATACACCGGAGAGGCACTGTCTACGTGAGGATCTTTAATAGGAAGGGTACTGCAATTCAGAAAGCGAAATGTTGTGAAACAGCACATGGTAGCTCTCATCCCAACTTCTCTCTGGTCTTACACCTTCTCATCCAGAATAACGGCAATCCAAAACACAGCTTTGAAATTATCACTTTTTTTTAAAAAAAGATATAGATCAATTTTATGCAAACTAAGAATGTTATGGCTCATTCTGTCTTTGAAATGGCCTGTTATCATTCAAATCTGCATATTCCAAACAGGGCAAAAATGCTTGGAAATGTCTCTTCATGATTCCTCAGCCAATGCAGCCACAAGCTTACAGTGGATAGAATAACGTGTAAAGCAGTGTGCCAGGCAAAACCATTTATTTCTCTGGGCAGTTGTCCCATATTATTTCTTATAAAACAGCTTCACGTTGATACTGTTTTATATGTCTTATTACAGTTTTGGGGCAGCGTATTTCAAGGTTGCAATTAGAAATTAAAAACTTATTTCATTATTAAAATAATGGGATAAGCTTTTAGATCTTTTTCAAGAAATGATTATTCTTTGCTAAACTCTGAATTCCAGCTGTCATAATTCTGGATTCATTGTCTACTAAACATGTGAAGCATAAGAAGTCAAGACTTGTACTCAAGACTTGTATACATATTTTGTATCTGAAATCTTTAAGAGCAGAATGTATCTCAGAGTCTTACAAGATCTCTTATCACCTCGCAAAGTGATATATCCAGGAAACTTCCAATTTTGCACACCTAATGTCAAAGCTACAAAGCTTTGTAGCACAAGTGAGGTAACCTCTCTTTGATTTATGATGCAAGCTGGAAACATTCGTAGTAACTTAATAGCTCTTCCCCCCCCCCCCCCCAAAATAACTTCTGCAGAGCATACAGTTAAAATTAAGTATTAACAGGGTTGCAGAAATACACACTGAGGGGATGATGTGTGCTTGGACTAGCTTGGCTCCATGACTTCTCTAAATACAAGGTCTATTTTTGAAGCAAGCGATGTATTGTAACAGCTTTAACACGCTACGTCAACCAAGTCACTGCTATGAAGTTCCAGAAGCAGTCACCTGCTATAAAAGTTGCCTCCTTGGTTCAGGCTCAAAGGTAGTGTTCTCTAAGATACCACTGTGCAGGGAAAATCTACAGAGAAGTTGAGTTTGTGATCTGAAAGCCTGAAAGGAATGATGAAAACACCAAGCAGCATGTCTGATGTCCTACATACGGCAATACATACACTGTAATAAAAAATACTACCAGGTAGTGCTTTAAACATCAGTATTTTCTAGCTGACACACTCCACTTCTTCAGCACTGCATAACAGATGCTGTTTTAATGGATTTGCACCTAACAATAGCATGGGATGGGTTCTTCAAGTAAGATTGCAAGGGGCCCAGAAACGTGACGTGTGCTTATGTATGCCATGGACCCAAAAGCACCTCATCTCTTTAGGACTTTTTTTTATTAGAAGAATATTTATATTCCTCATAACCCCCAGTATATGCAAACTTCCCACTTTCTTGAGGACCCAGCAGGCTACAAAACCCAGTTATTTTTCTTTTATGGGTTTCAGCACAATCACCTATGTGATAGAGCATAGCTTAGAAGAAACCCGACTCTTCAGTTTTAGCTCTGCCACAAAACATTGAAGTTATGTAAAAAAGTCTCTCGGCGTGGAAGATGCCCTGTAGGAGGAAGCAGCATTTTCCAGCTCACGTTGCCTAGATGACTGTCTTTACAATATCTAAACACTGGCAGGTATGGAAGGCATAATGTGGACTTGTTTATTTTGGGAAGGGTGTGCCATCAGTGGCTTCCACTAATGTTGCTCCTGTGTGCACCAATGGACAAATTAGCGCCAGATCCTTCTTCAGATGGAAGTTGGAAGACAGAGCAGTAGTATTCCTCTTCTGGCCCTTCACACGTGGCAGAAGGGCTCACTGAGGCAGGGGAGTGAGCACAGTGGGGAGTTCTGCTTTCTGCTGACTGCAGGAATAATCTTTATACGGAAAAGAGATGATCTGTAATCCCAAAAGTCAGCCAGCAAGCCCCTCCTGAGCGTTCTGCTGCCCCTTCTCACTCTTGCCTGTGCTGAGAAGTTGTGCCACTGTAAAGGGTCCAGTTAAAGTCCCCAAAAGGTGACGCTGTTCTCAAGTTCCTGGGGGCACTTCAGGCCCATGCCTTAGTACTGACTAAGCACACGGAACCTTGCCCTGTGTTACTGTCAGAGGTGACCACCTGGTTTTGGCCAACAGTTGACTTTGTATCTCCAGACTTACTTTTTAATCCCGCTGAAGCTTAAAAAGCTGCTGTGTGTGACAGCAAATTTCACAGCTGCAGACTGTTGTAGAGTGGATAATAAACCAGTGGATAGATAGTACTGCTGATTTCAACCACGGACTACTGTGGCAACAGCGGTGTGCAAGTCACGGACAGTTCAAATTCCTTTGTTTAAATCTTCTAGCTGAAATGTTTTGTTCTTATATTATGACCAATATACAAAAAAGCAGTTTAAAAGTGTAGGTATAGATATGCCATTAGCTCAAAGGTCGTTAAAAAACACTAGAGGCTGGACCACAAATTTCACAGTAGCAATGTGTGGCATTAATATGACATATTAATATCCTTATGGTAGATGATTAAGGCAGGAAATGGAGCTTGGTGAATTAACCTTCCCTAGCAGAGTGAAACACGCTCATACAAATTGAACTAAATTAATGCAATGCATTGGAATATTTCCAACTCTGTCTTTAATGCAACAGGCCTTTTTCTTTTTTTAAAATCATAATTATATTGTAGATGAGTAACTAGGACATATAGGCCACTCAGCATGGAAGTGTAAAATAGAGCGCGTAGCTGATTATGAGCATTTCATAAACCTAAATGTGACAGCTGATTCTTACAGACAGCCTAAAGATGCACATAACCAGGTTAATACCTCTGTTATACCTCTTCTTAATCTAATTTTTTTCCATCTGGGTGTGTATGTGCAGAAATATCATGCATCTTTAAGCATATTACTTTAAATTGATGTTACTAAAAAAAATTCTTGCCAAATGGGTTAGAGCTTTTGAGGGTTTTTCCTATTATAGCTTAAAGTATTTTAGTAGGATTCCATAAAAAACTGTCCACCTTTTTTACATCATTATACAAGTCACACATTATTAGCATTAAAACAAGCATTAAAGACAGCCAAACCTCTTTGAATAAGTAGCAATATGTTTGGGGGTTTTTCTTGCAGTTCATTATAAACTATGGGTTACCATGTGAATCACTCCCTGGAGTTATCATTCAGATTTAAGTTAAGTAGATAACAAGTAAAAACTTAAGAATACTGCAGTGTTCTACCCCTGATGTAGACACACAACGAAATATTGTGACTTCAGATATTAGACTGATTCCAACTATTAAAAAAAAGCTCTAAGAGGTAAAAAAAATACCAACCCAACAAACAAACAGTTCATGCAGACCAGTAAATTATGCAGGCAAGTTGACTTACTGTACAGGATACACGAGACTTTAGTTTCTACAATCACATTATTCATTCTGCTACTAGAACTGTTAGATCTTAATCCTGATAAAGTTGTTGGATTTATGTCTACTTACATCACTTGTGAATTTGGCTGAAACTGCACAATGGAATTTAGAAGAGGTTTGACAGCAATGTACTTGACATGTACTGACCACATGGTTTTACTGCAACCAACTCTTGGTTCTTGGTATATCAAGATCAATTAAAACAAAGCAACATATAGTGAGAAAAGATAGGAAGTCAGGGCATTCAAATTTTTCTACCTTTAAGTTCCAGCATGAGGTCTGAGTAAGTACAGTATAAATAATTTATATGCTTTCCTTCGTGTTTTCCATGGTGACCCGGTACGTGTGGGTTATTTTGTAAGTGATGTGCCTGATTCTGATCTCACTGACTTAATCACATCAGTGATTTCAAATGGTCAAACTAGCAAAATGAATTCTTATCTTAAGCCTGTCTATTTTTCATCACCGATAAAAGATGTAAGTAGTGTTTCCAGCTATTGTCTGCCAAAAAGAAGAGAAGCCCTGTAGATCTGCAGTCTGGGTATGCTTACCACCTTACACACGCCTTGTGGCTTCAGGGCTTATCTCTAATGTGAAATTAAAAGCCTGAAGAAGAGTAATTAAGGGCTGAGATGAACTTATAGGCAGAAAATTGAAAGAAAATGAATCAGTACACTATTTGGTCTGCTTTTACATTACAAACGTCTCGTACAAATATTTCTGTGTTAAGCACAATCTTATCTCAGACTTGATCAACTAAGCAAACTAAACAACATCCTCAGTTTCCACTGCAAATTAAAGTTCAGAATATCACCGAGATGAAAGCAACACCTTAAGGAAATGAGCTACAGATTTAATTGACTGAGTATCAGTCAGTGAGTAGGCCATTGTTATATCGGCACAAACCTTGCCTTTATAGCTAGATTAAAAATGCTGTGTTAATTGTAATAAAACAATCTAGTGAGAAAATTGTTTAGTCACTAAGTGTTATAAGTTTAAAAAAAAGAAGTTACAAACCAGGCTGTAGCTCGCAGCACAGCAGATTTAGAGAATCTCCTGCACCTGACTGCACATAGGAATAGAAACATTAGTTTCTTCTGGGGCCGGGTGAACGTTAGGCTTAGGAGTCACATTCCAAAATGAAGGAAAAGCTTTAACAGTAGTTTATATAGTGGATCTTGCAGAAAACCTTTTTTTGCAACTTTGCGGGGGAGAACATAGTCATGGAGTTGTCTGCAAAGAATAATGTTCCACTAGAACTGTCTGATAGGTGATAGGTGGATTCCATATTGAAAATGAGAAAAAAAGTTAGAACAGAGCTTTTGCTAGTGGCGGTTTAACACAGCTTTTGCTGCTACCGGTGCAACGACTCAACAGTCCATGACAATCTAGTTTTTGTGGTTTATCTATGTATCCATTCATTCGGCTGTTTTCAAGATATATGTATATGTATACACAAATATAACTCATTACCACCTTACGATTTATGATTCAAGTCTCTCTATTCAGATCCTTTACTTGACAATTCTACACGTTAAGACAAATCCCTAAGCCCCCTGGAAAGTGTGCTGATTTTCCAGTTCTAGTTGTGCTCTTTGGACTTCTCTCACCCTCTCTGGGATTTTCTAGAAAGGGCATTTTCCTCTCCCCACAACACAATGTGGAAAGGACGATGATGTTTTCCATTCCAGCAGAGCCACTCCTGTGATTGGAACTGCATTTGAGAGATTCTTTTAATGCGCTGTTTATAAAATGAAAAGGATCCACGTGACAGCAGTGAAACTTTATCATCATCTGATCATTTAAATAGGTAAACTTTTAAAATATTACTGTTGGCATTATATAATGTTACAGCACTTAGTAGAAAATGCCAGTATATCATAAAATGTCTCATAATCCATGCCCATGAAAGATGTGAACCATTATAAAGAACGCAGAGAGAATGAACCTCTTTCATTGTAAATATGGAAATAGACTCATTGGAAATATGGAGATTCACTGAGTCACGGTCAAAACCAACTAAAGGTATTGTTTGGGATCCATCATTAGGGAGAGTTGTGATGAACAACAGAATAGGATTGGTGCAAAAAATTAGTGAGAAAAAATAATTAAAAAAAGAGAAAAAAAATGGCCAGTAAAAGGGAGCACAAGCAAATACATAAACTACCTACATTTTGAATAAGCCTGCAGCTAACATATTGAAACTATGTTGAAGTGTGTTGCTAGACCTGTATTTTGGTGTCACGTGAAAAGAAGGTAAGTTCTATTTGGGGTAGAAAGATACCCAAAAGGAGAGAAACCTGGCTACATTCATTGCACATTAATTCCAGTTGTCCTAACAATTGTGGATAAGTTTATTGGATTACCAGAAACACGCATTGGAAAAGCAGAATTATTAAAGATCGATGGATTTTGTTGTAGTCCAAAGGATACGCATAAGACACATGTACGGTATGTAAACTAGGGGTAGGGATAATACAGCACAACATTCCATTCTGAAGAACAAACCAGTAGCCAGTACTAAATAAATATTTTGTATTCTTGATGTATCAATAAAAATTCTGCCCCCTTTCCCATTCTGAGTTACACATATAATACAGTGGCTACTGCAAAGCATGGCCATCATAAACGAAAAGCCATCCAATGTTATATACAGTGCACTAAATATATTTTTGAGGTTTTACCAGTTCTAGGAAGAACACCGAAAAGGAAATGTTACATTTTCTAACTATCCATCCTTTTAACTTCAAAACAATGAAGTGCTTTCAAACACTATCTAGGACTGATTTCTATTTTTCACATATAGGATACTCCAGAAAAAGAGAGACCTGGAAGAGCTGCGGTGTCACGCGCGTAGGGACTGTTAGAGGCATCATGCAGAGAAAGAGCATTCCACACAAAGAAATAACCTTACCCAGCAAATTCTCCACCCTGGGCTTGTGCCTGGCCTGCAATTGCATCCATGATAGCATCTTGGGAATACATGCTGATGGGGGTGTTATACTGGGCGTGAATTATCGTAGCCTTGCCGCCTAGGCCTTTCACCTCGATGGGTTTGTGTGTAGACAGGGCAGAGTCCTTCAGGACATTGGGGTTGAAACGCTCCGTGAACTCCGTGCTGGGTTATGCAAGAGTGAGGTTTGACAGGGAAGGAAGGGGAAGAAAGGAGAAAGGCGTGACAGTTCAGTGAGAACAAGCACCGACAGGAGTGTGCATGTCCGTTCAGGGCATCTCACCACACAAGCTTCTGGTCAGAGGATCAGAGACAACGTAAGTAACAAGTAACAGTTAAAAGCTGGCTGTGCTCGCGGACGACATTTCTGTGTTGGCTCACAGATGTATAAAGAGAAAAAAAAGGTGAAACAGCTGTCACTGTATAAAAAATCGCAACAAATCCCTGAGTATTTATGATACTTATATTAGAATTCTATTCTTACGTGCATATATACAAATAAGTGTATACAAACATATATACACACACAGACATACATATGCACGCCCATGGACGTACATACATACTGCAGAGAATTCCCAGTTTATTCACTGCATCCATTCATTCTTTCAGAAGGGTGTCACAAGTGCTAGAAAGCGCAATGGGGTGAACAGATGTCAGGTCCTCTATTATTTCGAAGGTTCCAGTCTGGATTATTAATCATAGTGAAATTTAATATGTGCGTCTTTTAATCTTCAAAGCTTTCCTCACAAACACTAAATTAATCTTCCCAAAATCTCTGTACAGCCAGCCATAAGTGTTACTATCGCATGATAAATGCGCGGTCTCAGATCAAAATATCCTACATTGCAGTCAGCGGGATGACTGCAGCTGGAAGAGCAGCCGCCACGTTCTCCACTGGCTCCATTTCGGAGGAAGGATTTTTATTTGAGAAACTGAGCCACGAGCAGGTGAGCTGAAGCTCCCATTGCGGCTGTACAAGTCAGTTCAACGTCAGATGTCGGCTAAAGAGCACCTGGCTTCCTTGTAGAGCCTACTTGTACAGTGGTCCAGTCCTAGAGTTAGGACTGAGCAAGCTAAACCTCAGCTGCCAGGCACTGCTCTTCTCTAACCTACGGGAGATGAGATGAATCTCTAGGCTGCCGTTCCTGTCCTGCCAGCAGCAAGAGGAAGCGGTATAGATTCCGTTCGCTCACCAAACTGGGCAAAACTGAGAATTCTGTCCTTTGGGAAAGAATGGGTATTTCACAAAGGTTTCATTTTGAACTGAGCCCAAAAGCTAAAAGGGATGTATTTCCCCCAAAGAATAAATTCGGAAGAATGTAATCACATTGGATTGGAACAATTTTCCTTTTCAGTTTAAAACCATTACACCGTAAGTTTATCAGCTAATATTAAGTCTTTTGCTGAATTTTTTCATGTGACTAACAGCAGTTTCCCTGGTTGGAAAGGGAACAATAGCATGGCTATCTGCCGTGGGTTCACCCCAGAGGGTGACTGTTAAAACCGATCCCTCAATCCAGCATGAAGAAAAAAAGGAAAATCAAGTAAAGCTGGCAGCCATCGGACTTCATCTTCCAGATTATCAAAAGTGATGCACCACCTCTGAACGCAGCCAGGGGACTCCACTGTGCTTTCAGCCTTTTGTTTGGTGGGATGCCCTGACTGAAGATGGACAGCAGGAGCGAGAGTCACACATCATTCAAAACACTTGATAGAACATCAACAGCCGCATGCTCAAGGAACAGAGACATAAATCTGCACGTGCTGCATTACAGCCATGCCTTTAGTTACACACATCAACATTTTAAGGGAGGGAAGCTGCATTATGCATTCAAAAAGTGAAAATCATCTTTTTACAAAGACATTTTCACATTTAAAATATCTCTCCATTAACTATTCATCAACTATGCCATCATTACTACACTGACATCATCTGTTGAAGGGTGATGTGCGGAGAGGTGCAGGTTATTATACTCTTGACTTTTCAGCATGCACATGCCTTGCTTTAACAATGGTATCTCTTTTCTTTGTGATACCCTTAATGATCACATGATAATTACGAACACACAGGTCCTTGAGATCTTGAATTTAGTGTTCTCTTTCCCCCACACTGTTAGAAGTATTGAAGAGATTCTAAACTCAAGATCTGAGAGGACTGTGTGAATGAAGACAGAGGTTAAATATGCCCCCTTTAAAGAGTAAAGTTCAAAGCAACTGGTTTCCACAATCAATTACAAAAATAAAAGCTGGTAATCTTAGAACAGCCTAAACTTCCCTAACGATACCAGCAGTAGCGATTTAGGCTTTCACTTGGGGTATTATAAACAGTTTCAGTGACGTCTTTCAAGAGGTTTTAGTCACATTACACACACCAAGGCAAAACTTTCACTGAGGTTAATAGGATTCCCATAAAAATAGGAGAAAAGGCTACAAATTTTCAACTGCAGAATTTTCTTTATAACTCTGGAAGTCAACTGAAGATCTTAGTGCTTGAAAGGGGTGCTGTGCTCTAGGACAAAGCGGCAGAGGTAAGACCCTACAGACAGCGAAGCACCTCTGCAAAATGAATGGGATTTTTCTACCAAGCTGGGAAAGGATCAGCAAAAATAAATCCCAAAGCCAATAAGATTAAAAACACCCCTATAATGTGACTTCTGCTTTCTAAGACAATTGTAACAGAATAATTATCAATGTAAATTGGCTAGAGTTTCATCACTCCAAAGGAGTTACATCATTTGCATGACATCACACCCACGCCTCATTAAAATCAACAGAGAATGCCAGATCAGTGTAAACTGTATGCACTAAATACTAGTTCAGCTTCATGTATTCTACTACTTCTAACCTTCTCTTGTCAGCTTCAATTTGAAATTTCAATAATATATTTTTTTTTTTTTTTTTCTGAATTTAACCCAGTCTCCAGCAGTTTCTGGACAACACTCGGTTCAGAGACAGAAAGTGGGAATTTAGAGACAATCCTCTGCCCTTAGAAAATTAAAGATCAAAGCTGAAGACTCTCTGAACTTCCCTAAATAAAGCAGACCAATCACATTTTCAAATCAATAGTTGCTTCTTCTTTGGGCAATATGTTTACTAAGGTAAATTACTTTTCAGATCTTTTCTATATCAGTATCTCATACCAACCTAAAGTTGAATTTTAGTGGCGTGGGACTTCAGAAATTAATTGAACACTGAGGCTAAAAATACATCACTAATAATTATACACCAAAAAAGGCTCAGATAAGGCTCCCCAAATCCTGCAGGCATGAAGACTACTTAAAGAATTAGGAGGAATTAAACCCAGATTGTAGAAACAAAAAAATCTGAAAGCATTTGCAAGAACTGAGCAAGCTCAGACACTAACTCCATTGGCAGCACTAGAACGTCACCAAGAAATGCCGAACACGTGGTGGGAACAGCACCACTGGGCACCAGTTGCAGTGCATGACGTTTGCCATATTGCCATACCAATAAGATTCTTTTTTAAAATACTTCCACTTGCAAGCAGACACAGCAGGAGGACAAGGGATCATGCTACCCCAGAAAACAAATCTTCACACATACAGCGTAACACAAATACTTGGCACTATACAGAAGTGATACTAACTTGGCAGCGGTGTTGGTTATGACCTAAAAGAAGAGAAAGAGAACAAACAACATCAAAACCAACCAAACAGAAAAAGTCAATAGTTTTTAGAGTGCAGAGGGCAAAAGGTATTTACAAAAGCTTAGTAAAGCTTTTTTCAGACCATCTACAAACAAGAACAGAAAGTAAATGTATGCCTGAAACCGCCAACATGATTAAGAAAGGAAAAAACGTAGGGATTACAGTTGATCCACTAGGACTTAGTAGGGTACCATGGCATTTTGGCTGACCCCTGAACATGATTTTATTGCTGTGCATCCCTAGAAGTCCGATTATCAAAGTGTATGGGGGTGGGGGAGCAGAGGGAAGAAACCAGCATTTGCAGAGTACATTCTCATCTGAAAATAGCAAATGAGTGGTAGACATGACATTCTTCTATCAGATACTAAATATTCAGGGATGAAGTCTGTTCTCCTCAGGCTGCCCTCGCAGTTGGTATTGCAAGATTGATTTTTTGGTCTTTTACATGCTGGAGAATATCCACAGAATATATTGCTATATGTTTTAAATCTAAAACTAAGGAGAATGCCTTTGTATTTAACAAACTATTGGCCTAAATCTGACTGTACCTACATCATGCCAACAGTGGTGCAAGCCAATTAATTTCAGAATAGTCATTCCTAATTTATTCCATGTCAAATGAAGCAAGTCTGTGCATTATATGGGTTTTTTTGGATATCCATATTAGGATATTTTATTCCATCTAGCATGTACACAGTAGGAAAAAACCATGTTCATCTACATCCTGCTTCGCTGCATAAAGAAGTGATGGTGGCTTGTGGAGTAATTCCAAAGAAACACAATACAAAACTCAGCGTAGGCCTTATGCAGGCCAGAGCTGGGAGCCATGAACAGATAGTGTGCTCAACCTGTAATATTATATTATTTGCTAATAACTCTTTCTGTTGGTTGCATGACTAGGATTAATGGGCTGTGACATTTATTTTAACTGAGTTTTTTCAAAGCTTAGAGTACCCATATTTTGATTTATATTTTTTGGGTGAAGAGTAATTCATCATATTTTGCCCCCCCCAAAAAAAAAAGGTAAGAGAGCCCGGGATCAGTTAACAAACATTTCTTCTTATTTAGCTGCACAGAATGCTGTTGACAGAACTGGGCACTGAACCTTCCAACATTTTTACTTGCTGCTGTTACGTTTCTACAAAATACTGGACAGCAACGTTATACTGTTGGAGTGACATTCACAGTGGATTTGTCTCCCGCTTTTGCCTTGCAGAACCTTTGATACTGCTGCTTCTTTTTACATACACTCCTTTTGCATTGGCTCATCCAGCTGCCTTTTTCATGATCAAAACCGCTCTGATGAGCCAAAGCTGCACATAAAGGCTTTGCCCTTCTGCACTTCCATGGAAAAGCAACCATAGATCACCTTCTGCAGTTACTGTTCTTCAGGCTCTCGGGTTCGAGAATCTTCTTCTAACTTCATAAACCCTACATTAAGCCAAATATATCGGTCTGTTACAGGAACCAGTAGAGATATATTAGGAACAAGCTGTAGCCTGTAAGCACATCAGTGATCCTATATCCATTTTAGGTATGCGCAGGACAGCTGGGCACTCATTTACAACGAAACATGGTGTAATGGGATCATTTTCTGAAGTGGACTCTGATGCCTGCTTTCATCTTCTAATCCAGGCCTCTGCCTTATGCAGAAAATAGTATTTTAAAGGCAGAACTACCACTGCTAAAATACAGCTTAATTAGAGGAACCACTTGTTTGCATATAAAAATATGTTCAAAGATAAAAACCATGTATGTGCACACTCTAAGAACAGCTCAACAGCCATATCTCAGTAAAGATTTTTTAGATGTGAAGAGGCTACTACAGCTTCCTTCAAAAGCAGTAAATCTTTAATTCTCCTTATGTTTAGTATGTGCTGAGAAAATTCTCTGCAGTTCAGAGCCACACATTATTTTAGCTTGATTCTAAATACGGACATGTATGAAACACCCAAGTTGCTGCTCACAGAGGTCACACAGTAAGCAGCTAGTAACCCAAGCCACCTGGCACGTACTCGTGGGACAGGTATTTACTGCCCTTGACCTACAATGTGAAAAATAACTTCCACTGGAATGAAAAAGAACCACGTGTTACAAGCTATGACTCACTCTTCGTATTTATTAATACTTCCCTTTCCAGAGCTTTCAGCACATGAAGTTCCACACTCTTAACAGGCCACCTCTAGTTTTCACCCCGGGTCAGGGTGATAGAGCTTTAACGTAAAAGTGTATCAGAGAAACAGATGCTTTGTTATTCTTTGCAGATCAAGGAAATCATCTCAAAATTAATTTGAGCTTTCTGATTGGATTTTCCAAAGGGAAAAGCTAAATCTCGAACAGCAATTCACACAATTAAGTTTAAATGATTTGGTGAAAAGGACACCAAATTAAAGTATGAAATACACCTTAAGATCAACCCCCAAACCTGCATTTTCTTACAGCTTTTACCATACTGCTAAGTGCATGTTCAAGAATGCATAATAAATTCACAGTTTTGGAGCGCCGTAATTCCACAATCTTTCCGCAGTATCTCATGTTGTACTATTGTGATAAGAATGTCCCCACCAAAGTCCAGAGCTGACTTTGCACAGCTCGCACTGCTCTCCGTGTGCACTCTTTCACATATATCCCCAATGCGATCGAGACTATCACGGACGATACCAAGTCCCAAGGCAGTTACATGTTCCATGTTACCCCTCACAGAGCAGTAGGAAAGTTGCCTCTCACTTCATGGGTAACACTCAAGCAGGAGTGGGAATGACAGGATTACTGAACTCTGAATTTTCCCTGCATGTAAACAGAGATGTACAATTCTCTAAATCTCAGAAGAGTTACCTGGAAAGACAAATGTACTTAGTAGCTCTGGGCTCTGTCACCTTTTCAGATTGTTCCTGGACTGCCGGATAAAGGCTGAACTTTTTAAACGTAACGTTTAGATGACTGCTCATAAATTTTCTTGTTTGTTCATCAGTGCTACAGATATTACAGGCAGACAGACAGCACTTCCCTAAAATTCTGTTCCAACTAAAACAAAAAATCCCAGATGGTTGTTCTAAGGTAGAACCTTGCTTTGTAATTCTGCGCACTGCCACAGGCATGCACTAACATGTGCACATATAATGGAGACATAAAACATGGCAGAGCAGTAGAGTGAAGACAGTGAAGCGTTTCCTGCAGGTACACCTCTTTTGCATCCCAGCAATCACTGTCGTATTATGTAGTCATAGCGCAATGCCCTCTGGAATCAATAGAATGGTTCACATTGATTGCGGTGAGTGATGGATGCAGCTGCGTTGTAATTTTGATAACACAGAAAGAGTCAGAATGCTGAGCCATGCAAAAACCAGCCCCTTCACCCTCACCCTCACAGGCGTTAAGGAGGGTTGTGAAGATAGTGGGAGAAAGCCAGTGAGATACACTCCCAGGAATTGAAATAAGACAAGGATTAGTTTTCCTCAAGAAAACTGTAAATTAAGAGAGGATCATACTGAGGTTTGTTTTGCTGATCTTGCTTAGTAACTGAAATTATTTTCTTTTAAACACTAATTGCCTTTCTTAATTATCCAGTATGAGGAGGGAGGCTAGGTTTTTTCAGATAAGTTAATTAGGATTTTTAATGCCGTGTGCTCAAGAGAGTTACAATGAATCATCTAAACTGCTTGAATCATCTAAAACGCATATATATGCTCTCTTACAAGGAAAAAATATCCTTACTTTGCTACAACTTAAAAACCCTTGCTTTAACTCTTCCAAAGAGCTTCTGCAATGGGATAGAAAGTACTTGAAAATATCATTTGCTATCAGGCCTTGAGTGGATTGTCTGAATTTTCTGGTTTTTCTTCATATAGCCAAGTCCCTAGTGTTAAAAGTACACTTTTTGCCATATTCATAATACAAATTTTATCTTCAGTTTAAATAAACACAAATAAATTAAAGATTTGTTTGAAAATTAATACATGAAGGCAGAAGAATTAGGAAAACATGTTTCTCATTGCTTTCTCTCATGTATTGTAGTCCAAGCTCCTCACTTCACAAACCTACTAATAAAACAGTTGATGTGCAATACAGTAACACTGAAAACCGTGACAGCATGGGATCAAACTACCTGGGTAGTATCTAGAGATCACTCCTTGTTACATACAAGTTAAGAGCAAAGCTAATGGACGTGAGACAGACAACGTTGAAACCAGAGGATTCACAATATTGCTATTTTGATTCATTTTGCATAGGAAAGCCAGTACATTAAGGCAGGAATTATAGCGGGACGCTCCAGTAGACGAGCATGTCAGATTTGCTGGTCAAAGCGACTTCTCTTTAGGAAAGTACCAAAGCTCAGATCTGTTTTATAGCAGCTTCTACAATGGCCAACAGTGATACATGCATTAGTTTAAATCGCCAAGTGCCGGAACTCTGGGATGATCACAGTCACTTCAGTCATAGTGTTCCTCCTCATGCTCTGGTGACTATTGCCAATGCATATTGCAATTCACATACCAAAGACCAAGAGTTATTCTGTAATGGTACTGTCTATATGTTTTGGGGGGTACTGGAAAATTTAATGGTTGTTCCAGACCTTAATTACGATTACCAGACAAATGCACAATAGGGTAGGTACTATTACATTCATTTTTCAGCAAATTCATTACTTATTGAAATATTAAGTATGTTACCTACCCTCTAGGAAGTCCGCCTTCTGAAGCCCTTCGGTTGAGACTTAATTTATGCATCTCAGCCATTTCCCTTAGAGTCTCTGCTGAGTAAAGGCCAATAGGGTTATTATACTGCCTCGCAGGGCTCAGCTGCTGTAAAGGACTATTGCCATCGGTCAATACGGGGCTTAGTTTTGAACCTAGATTACTCTTTGCTGGTGAAATGTCAGGAGTCACAGACTGAGAGGACATGGAAGATCTAACTGTGGTAGTCTTTAAGTAGGAAGAGCTATTTGAAAAGCTGATCTCTTGCT